TTCACAGAACACAAAAGCTAATGTGGTGCATAAAATCGTCATCCCATTTCTTAAGGCATGGCCCTTCTTTAGGATAAATGAACAGGATAAGGATGCAATAACAAAAGCTTTGACAAATTAAACCTAGGTCGGTGAACCTAGGTAGGTTAACACGTGCTGCAGAAAATGCGTAACTTCGACTGGCAGTATTTCAACATAAGGCAAGACATTCGCGCACTACACGCACAAACGACAAATTAAAACCTTAGTATTACAGAATATCTTGCTCATGAGTTGACAATTACACTGAACTCCACCGCCTCCAGTCTCAAGCCCAAATGAAAACAGAAGAGGATTAAGGGCCATAACGAGTCTGCCGCAAAACTTAGCCACCCACCGCTCATGGCGTTGCCCTAATTGAAAGTTACACCGTATCGGTCGTCTGTCGAGTTACTAAGGGCCACACAGGCTATTGGAGATCTGAGGCTGACTGTGAAGTCGAAACCTACCTACCTAAGATCAGAACATGCCTCACGCCATCCGGCAGACGGACGCGGCAACACTGCGAAGGCCTTCGAAGATAGACAAGAGAAAGATGGAGATGCCATTCAGCAACGGAGACGCTATCCATTTTGAACGGTGAATGTAGACACTGCGATGCCATCATAGCACGTCAGAGAAGGTTCCAGGAGAACGATACTGCCAGTAGAATATGTTCACACGTAGAGGGAATAAACAGAAGCTAGTTCATGATGCAGCAAGGAACCGACTGGACATAGTTGGACTAGCGTCAATGAAGCACCATGGTTTTGGAATTCTGAACCTCTGCAGGTAGAAGATATTCTACTTAGTTGTCGAATTCATTACTCGCGCTCATGCCGGCATTGGTGATTTGGTAGATCCTAACCTGGCTGACAATTACTGGAATGGAAGTCTGTCATTGGAGGATTGCAATCAACCGACTAAGGTTACAAGAGGCTAAATCTTTGACTCCGTTACAGGACAGTGAGCCCAATTCAATGATACAGCTGAGTTGAGTTTTTCCTGGACAAGGCAAAAAATGCTCTGTACGACTGCCCGTTATGGAATCCTTCATTCTAATGAGGGATTTCAATGCGCATGTCGGAGCAGTCACTGAAAATAAAAGACAGACGTGATTGGAAAGAACGACCTTAGCGACCTCGACAATAGCGACATGAAGTTGTTGCTGTTTTATCTAACAACGGACTGTCTGTTATGATCAGCTTCGAGTATCGAGGCGTGCATCAGTATACCTGCTATCGGGAAGCTTGTGTACAGAAATCGATGATCGATTCGATGATAAATGTCCGAATTAAGAAAAGCGTAGAGCTGTCAACTGAGCGCCACCTTGTCTTTAGCACACCGCGCTCAGAGAATTGGAGTACCATACGAAGACACAAACATAGCCTGTGGCTCGTAGGGTGAAACTTGCAAATAAAATTGCACGACGGTTTGAACAGATCCCTATTATTGAATTTGAACTTTAACTGCTTGAATGGCTTCACCAATGAACTTTTTTCAGCATTAGAAAGTAAGCATATCTCAAATCACAGGAATGAAGGAACAATCGAACAAACAGTATACCTCAGTAATACACAACTGAGTGACTAGAGAGCTATAAACAATATAGAGCAGGAAGTCAACCAATGTGCAATGAAGAAGCAAAGCGAGGGTGAATGAACGTGAGGCATGCGGAGATAAAGTTGCAAAGTTGCCTAACTGCTTCAGAGTCTCGGAGAACCCGTGATGAGGCTGGGGCGATTGATTTGCGGTAAAGTTCTATTCTGGCGTACAAATCTACGCAACGAGACCTCGTGAAAGGACGACGAGAAATGCATCCTGCAAAGTCATTGTGTAAAAGATGAGCGCTCTTTGCGGGGATATTGTTGCTCCTTCGAACTGCATGGCTTATTGCAAGATCACTAGCTTTCACTTTAAGTTGCTTAGCGAGAGACCACTGCGTTCGGAGAATATCTTAAGATGTCTCATAATTTTCTAGTCGCATTCTAAAAGAAAGGGGAAAATAATTGCAGCAACGTAATTCGATATTGAATGACATCACACACGCGTAAATAAAGTTTTAATGGCACCTGAAAGAGCATGGAGGTTTCTCAATCTCCGGATAAAGAACGATGCACGGCAAGTATGAGTCGCTACAAAATTTACATGTTTATGCCAAGAAGAAGAAACGTCGAGGGTAGATTGACATCCAGGAATTTTATATTTTAAACGCCGGTCACAGTCTCATCAAAGAGAGTGAGTGACCGGGATGACAGGTCTAATAGTTGCTCATTTCTGATACGGCGTATGCTGCAAATCTACTCAGATGTTTCACAACGGTTCAGCTGGAGCTCAGTCATTGAATGGTATTGGCAAATCTTCCTCAGCCGTTCACATACGCTTCTCAATCCAGAAGCAACTCTAGACAATCCACGATGATCATATCACCAGTATACTTAATGCACTGAAGAGGTAGGTCGACATCGCAGTCGTTGGTGCAAATGTTTGACAATATCGGTGATGGGAAAGAGCCCTGCGCAATACAAATATTGTTCTGCATCAGGCGGAATTTCTTCCTACCAATGCTGACAAACTGAACGAAACGAAAGAGATAATTAACCAGCCGTTGAACAGTTGAAGGGCTGATAGCTAATCAGTTCAGTTTGTATGACAGTTTGTCGCGAGAAATTATATTGAACGCCGAGATTTGGTCAATGAACGTGGAACGGCAGATTCTTTGTCCATTACAGAGCTCTTCGCTGACTGCATGAGTTACACACTGCATTTGCATCTTCTACCCCTATTTTTCTTTTGTTTGTGAACTGACACAGGTCAATGGCGAAAGCAGTTGTACGTTTTACGGCTGGCAGAACTAACAGCTGGAGGAATCTAGGGAGGACTGAGGTTATTGCAGTTTGACGGAGTGCTTCAAGCCCTGTTGCATTAGATCCCTTTTTGGCGCTGGAACAACGTACGCTATGCGTCAATCGTTAGGAATCAGTGATTGGCGTAAACACAGGTGTTTCAGAACGTCACACAAAGGAGCAGGGCACGGTTTCATTAACAGAAGACAGACTATGTTGGGACGAAGAGACAGATTAGGTCGAAAGAATGCCAAACAATTTCGAACCTCTGCTGCTATGAGCTGGAGAGGTGACTTGTCTGCTGCTGAACATGATTAGGGATTCATTAGACGGTGGATGTTCTTTTTCGTGGCGCAGAACGCGCTCGATAAACTCATTTAGATCCTCAGGAGAAGAGTTTGCGGCGGATGTGGTGCTGCACAGCTACTTAATATTACGCAATTAGTTCTTTCGATCGCCATCAGCGAAGCAACGGTTCACCTAAAGCGTGTTGAGTTGGCTGTTGGAAAATTTCCGCGGTAATTTTGGAGGACAGGGACAGGCAAAGCTGAAGGCAAACACGTGGATATAATGTATCTTTCAGCAAGCGAAAGCGCTGAAGGGCTGCTGAAGCAATTCTACGTTCAGGAATTAAAATCTTCTGCATCGGTCAGAAAGC